TCCACCATCGTGTACCAAGTGGGGAGCAAAGCCACTGGGTGGAGTGACGAGAAGCAGTTTAAAATGCCCAACTTGGCGTCGAAAACTGCTTCGAGCTTCTTTGTCTTTGGCGACGTCGGCACGTGGGTGACGGCCACGAACGGAACGGGTATCCCTGGCCGATCGGCTGGCACGCTCCAGCGAGTGGCGCAAGACCTGGCTCGAGGCGACCGCAACTACCAAGCCGTCTTGCACGTCGGTGACATGAGTTACGCAGACAGCGTTGGATACGTCTGGGAACAGTTCATGACGTTGATCGAGCCGGTCGCGTCACAAGTGCCGTACATGGTGAGCGTCGGGAACCACGAGTACTGCTACTTGGACAGCACCAAGGCAGTCGACATCTCTGGTGAAACCAAGACATTCTACGCTGACAAGCCCAAGGCGAGCTCCAAGGGCGAATGCGCCGTCCCTACGGTCCATCGTTTCAACGTCCCCGACAATGGCAACAAGGTGTTTTGGTACAGCTTTGACGCTGGCCTGGCTCATCACGTTGTGCTGAGCAGCGAGCACGACTTCAATGCTGGCTCGCGCCTGCGTACGTGGCTCGAGGCGGACTTGGCGGCAGTCGACCGGTCGTCGCGGCCTTGGCTGTTTGTTCACTTTCATCGGTCCATGTATGTCTCGATGGACGGGACGGCGTCATACACCAACGTCCTTCGCCCATCGCTGGAGCCTGTGTTGAAGAAGTATGGTGTCGATGTCTTCTTTAGCGGCCACACGCATGCGTACGAGCGATCATGCCCCGTGTACAACCAAGTGTGCGTGAGTGGCGCCAATGGTGAAGCGAAGGGGACCGTGCACGTCATGATTGGATCGGGCGGCAAGGCCCTCGACCCCGAGCCGTGGCTCCCCCAGCCGTGGTCCGCCAAGACGTTCAGAGAATACGGGTACGGCCGCTTCCATGTGAAAAACGCTACCCACGCCCAAGTCGAGTACGTTCTCAACTCGAACGGATCGGTGGCTGATAGTGCCTGGATCGTGTCGGACCACAAGTGGCACCGTGCTTGAAGTGGCTCCGACGTC